CAAGTCTCGAAAAATTTCGAGACGCCGATCCGAACCACGTGGTGGTTTGTTGCCAAGAGAGTCCCTCTTGGCGGGTGGTGAGTTCGTATTCCGACCCGGATGAGATGCTATTCCATTTTATACACAGAAAATCAATGTAATAGAAGACTCATATCACAAATCGCCCGAACGGCGAGACATCCGTTCCATAGGAAGGTCGGACTTGTCCATCTCGAAATGGCGATCCGAAATCGTTTGCTCGACCTGGATATGAACATGCATGGGTTTGGCTCGATCCGGTGCTTCTGGTCGAGACAAGGGAGCTCGAGGACGGGACCCAGAAGTTTCAGTGTTGGGACGCGAATTTTGTGCGATACCGACACGGACTATGACCATGTAGAACGCAATGGAGATGATGGGGGTTACCATGTCCAGAACAACATATTGTCCATTGGATTTGAAGACGAAGCAGATGAGAGCAGCCAAGAGAGTGATGGAATATAAGGCTCCCGCGTCCACAACGACAAGGAGAACAGGGAGGGTTAAGCTGCCGCCTAACCGGGCGCGACCAACAGATCGGTTAATAGACCATAGTCGATAGGCTAAAAGAGCTAGAATGCTGCAGCGTCAGCAAGCGAGTTCAAGAGAAGCATAAGAGGTAACGAACTGGTCGCAACAAGGTTGCAAGACAGAGTCGTAGAATAGAATGCAGTGATCCATTTTCCGAGCTGCTGAGCATAGATGCTTGTGGGGTCTGTTGATGGAAGTGTGCAGGAGTAAACCGACCCGGCAGCTGTGGCTATTGATTTTACTCAGCCGATGGCTTTGAACGATGTTGAAAAACTTGCCGGCGACAGCGAGCCACAGAATCACAGGGAATATGACGACACAAGGGCTGCGCCAGACCTTGTAGCACCGGTATATCTGGAAGACGTTAACGCGCAGGCGGATTTTTGCAAGATTGCGCACCACGACACCGTCTCCGAGTACAGTCTGGAAACTGTACACGGCATTCTTAAATACAAACGAAGAGTCACTCGGATTCGCAAACCAGGCGACCGGGCCACCTGGATAAGAGTCCCGGAAACGAATGAATCCACTGTTTAAACGATTGATGTCGACGGCAAGATGCTAAGGAATCGATTAGTGCGGCATGAGACCGAGATGAAGAAACCTATGATTGTGCTCAAAATGAAGAGCAAACATGCGATGACAAACATGATGTGGTTGACCTGCCCCCAAGGGTGACCGCGCAAAAGAGTCCATAGAGTACCGATGAACATTAAGGCTGAGAATCCTGTAGTAACACTATGAGTATCGAGATTATTGATGGGTGCGAGACTGTTGCTTGCCATAGAGAACCGATTCAAGGACGGTTGAAAGGAGCCCTGCCTTGTCAGGCGACAGGAAGAGCATCTTCGGGCTATGTTGGGGAGTGGGTGCAAGTGAACGAGCTCAAGAATATATGTATATGTATCTTGGGACCCACAATTGACGCATCGGTTTAAGTGCCAATACCGGTTACGAGCGACTTGTTAGAGCTTGTCCGTCCGCAAATTCCCAGGAGGTGGTATTACGCGGGGACGCCGTTCACGGAGAACCACATCAGGATTGGCTGCCCGTCCGCGAACCATCAAGGGCTCCATGCCTCACGCGGTCGCACCGCGCTAGGTATGTGGTATGTAAGCCTTATCGTCACAGAATTCTACCCGAGACAGCAGTGAAAACGCTTCGTCCTATAGTGAGAAAACGTCGAAAAGAACCCGATGCAGGATGTCGCACAAGGTAAACAGGACTTGAGATTGGGAAAGCATCGAGCTCACTATCCGACGTCCCCGCCGCCGTCTCAGCGCCCATCTTATTTGGGCCGAGAAAAACCCATGCGCTTTCTTGCCATTCGGGCATTCTGGGGTTGTGATGTGTGTCTTAGCTGCGGGATTGAGGTGTGCTGTTCGGCTCCACTTTTGCCCCGCTCCAATCTTCAGGGCCATTTGAATGGCGGAGAAAAACAGCGCTTAGCATTCGGCGCTCAAGGTAGAGTTCCTGAGTTGCACTCCGCGGCATTCTGTCAGGTTAAGCGGTCGTCCGGGCTTGCCTGATTTTATCTTGTGAGGTCATGGCTTTGCAGGACTTGGGATTTGAAGCTTGAAGAGCAGACACAATGAGAGTACTTTTAGAGGCTGTCGGACAAAACATAGCGGTCCAGGATAGAGATCCAAATTTCTGCAGCAGCGGGCACTTGATTAGAGGTGGACTGGGCTGAATGACGGCATTGACGAGGCGCCCACAGAGAATCGCAGATATAAAACAGAAGGGACACACAGTCAGGTCACAGGTCGTTATGACTGACAGGTGTGTCAGGATCCGATTTGGATGGGAGAAACAGATGATGCGACCGATTGCGGGTAGGATGCTGGGATATTGTAGACTCGTACCAGAGCATACTATAGAGGTAAACGACGACGTTCGGGGACAGAATCATATTCATATGCTCGATCGGGATGTCTGCCGCCAGCACCGCCGCACCGACATCATGCCGTGATGCCATCACCTAACATCTGGCGCTGAGCGGAGCCGTTTTCGAAACGTGCGGTATGTAAGCAGAATACCTTCCCCGGGCCCGCGCGCGTGGATTTCCCCGAAAAAGCGCAACTCGAAACTTAGCGTACAGAGAAAATTTAGGCCTGGATGTTTGTGCGCTTGACAGTCTGCTCCACCATCGAAGCAAGTATCCCTGCAATTGGCGAACTCCGCGCAAATCGAGCTCCTCGCAAAGCATTCAATAATCACTTGTATGCGGTGGAAGTTACGGACACTAGCGTGTCCCCTTCTCCACCAGCCGCACCCCCCATGTCATCGTTCGGCTTCTTCATTGGGGGGCTTCTCCATCGGCATCCAATGCCCGCAATCCTGGGTCGATAATACACTCGGTTTATGTAAGACCGTGGTCCAGCCAGCTGGGAAATCTTGTGAGTTCCCGTTGTTAATCGATAATCCAGCAGAGGAAACCAACCAAGGAGCATAGTATACAAACGAAGCGTGACAACGAGCATATCGTTACGTAAGCGCGTCACGGTCCTGCCTATTTGCGAAACGCGACCACTCCTTTTTGTCGGCCTTGAAACGCCCCCACATCTGCGTCGTAGTTAGAGGACAGTATCGCCGGGGACAGGGGAGACTAAAATACACGGTCCACGAAATCTTCCTCTTTCATCGCTTCGAGGAGTGCGTTGGGATCGTTGGCAAGCTCTTCGTTGTCGTCAGATAGGGCCTTGATTTTCTCCTTCACCCGCACGGATATGTTATACAGGCTGTGCCGCGCCTCATGGCTATATCAGATCCATTAGTCCCTATTGAAAAGATCTGCAAAAAGGAACACACTATGCTAGTGCGCGTTTAAAGCACCGCGCGCCAATGACGAGCCCAAAGCGGGGCGGGTAGGGCAGATTGCGCGCCTCTGCATTGTTCTCGAACGAAGTCGCCTTTCCGTATTTGATTTTCTTCTCCGGAATATCCTGTACAAAAATGATTCCTAGCCTGTAAGGTGATATATAGACACCGACTTGAAATGTCTTGGGATCATATATTCCCTTTTGCGTTGAGAGAGAGTAGGAGGCGCTGACGTCGCACGCATACATCCCCCGGGTCCAGCAAGCATGGCAATTATCGTTTCCTGGACAGATAACACCATCTGCCAATAACGGCCGCAGGTTCAGGGTAGCAATAAACGGAGCCTTCCAAGTTGACAACGTCATCGAATCGGCAAGGGAATCAACCTGGCGGCGGAGGGCTGTCACTGCTGTGGCGAAATATTCTTCTGGAGTTCGGGAATAAGCAGATGTTCAGTGCCTTTGACACACACATACACGTACTTTCGTCCTCCGTCGCCGTAGATAGATATTCGGGGTCTGAATCCAGGGCAATGATATACTCGATGAACACTGCGAAATGCTCATCGAGGTCGCGATGTGAATAGCGCATGCGGTCGAGAGCAGCGGTCGCGTCCGGGTCAGCACCGTCGGCCTCGTCGACGATGAAGCTCTCCTCCAAATTCTCCGCCGCTTCCATCTCCTCCGCGTCCGATTCCTCATCCGAGTCCTCTATCTCTGGGATTGGGGTGAATTCCCTGAATAGATCATCTGAATCTTCGTCCTTCGCGTTCGCTGGAACAGGTGCTGGCGAAGATTTGTTCTTGCGAGCCTTCGCGTACCGCTCGAGTGCGCTGGACTTGAGTTGTTTCTTGGTGGGTTTCGACGAAACCGGTTGAACAGGGACTAGAAAGACCATCAAGTGAATGCGTCGAAAAGAAAGTAGAACTCACATACGAGCAAGGTCTTCGGGGTCATCGTCTGAGTCCAACACCTCCGCCTCTGATTCTTTGCGCAGCCTTCCCTTCCGAGTCGGCGACTTCGTTGGCGGATCGCTCTCCACATCCAGAGGCGGTGATTTGACGCGCCGTAACCGTCTGGGTGCAGCATTTCCTTCGTCCTCAGAGTCCGAGGGTACCATGGCGATATTGGGGCGAGCCCTGCGTTTCCGAGGCGAGGCCACCGAGTCGGACGCGCTACCCTCTGGATCGGACTCCTGGTGTGCCACCGGAGGCGGCGACTTGGCGCGCCGCGTCTTCTTCGGAGGTACGGGTTCAAAGTCGGGAACAGGCTTGAGTCGCCGGGATTTGCGTTTGGCCACCTGAATTTCGACATCGCTCACGTCGGATTCCTGGACGACCAGTGGCTTCGCGACGCGCCGTGTTCTCTTCTTTGCAGGCGGGCTTTCGAGCGACGCGCGTTCCACGCCTGCTACTTCCTCAGCAGCTGTGCGTTTTCTTTTCGTGCGGGGCATGACAGAGACAAGAGAGCGGGTAACACAGTGAGAACCCAGAAGCGAACTCTGCTGTACTTATTAGCTTCCCAGAGTACTGCAGAAATGAAAATTACATAAGTTTAGCTAGTCCAAATACACAGTCGTTCACGTTCGCGTGGTACTACTAGTAGGCTCTGTCTTGATGATTTTCGGCAATCTCCCTCTTAGCTCAGTTGGTAGAGCGCGTCACTAGTACGATGTAACGCTCCATTCTAATGACGAGGTCAGTCGTTCAAATCGGCTAGCGGGAATGTTTTGCCTTTTTCTCCTTTTTCATTGCCACGCAGTTCGTATCTGTTCCGAGTCCTGGGCCTCCCGACACTTGTCGTTTCTCTGCACAACATCGCTGTCCTCGAACTTCACGAACTGCGCTTACCACTGACAGGCGCGCATTAGTGTATTCAATGATCTCGCATTCAAACGACTCTCTCTGCAATCGCATTGCAGCAAGCAAGCATGTATGTATGCACTGCGTACCATGTGTATGTACACGAAAAAAAGAAAATAGCAAGACTCCAATGCGGGGTAGCTAGGTAGTGCGTAGCGTATACTGTACATACATTGAGACCAATGGACCTAAGACCCTTAGTAAAAGCAAAAACAGCGAAAGAATAAAAAGAGGCAGATGAGAAAGAAGAAAGGAGAAGAAGAGAGGCAAGAACTAAAGCGGGAGGGGTAGGTATGAGTAGGGACTAAAGGGTGCATAGCGTAGCGTAGGGGCGGTATCTGTATCTGTATGTCTTGTGTGTATGTGCGGATGTGGGATGTGGGATGTGGGCTGGACGAAACGGCGTCAGCGCTCGTCGCCAAGCGAAAAGGCGGGAAGAACGACTCACGCAAACTAAGACGGCGTATACTATTGCGTGCGGGCGTGCGTGGGGACTGGTGACGTGGTGGATGGGCCGGGACGGATGGGTGCTGGTGGGTACATATGTATGGTATAGGGTAGCGGTAGCGGTATCGATGTCGGGCGCGGTGGGCACGGGGCTTTTAGCGTTGAGTTAAAGGTGAGCGGGGGGTGTTTTGCGCGTGGCGGGGCGTGTATCGGCGGGGACGAGACGCGGCGATGGCCTGCGGGGGCGGGTTGGGGGGCGTGCGCTGGCGGGGCGCGGGAGGCATGTAGCATGGAACATCGGTAGAGGGACGAGAAGGCAGGCTCGAGAGCCGAGCGTGGTGGCGGTCGGGGCCCGAGTGTGGATTCGAGTCACAATTAGTCGACGGATGCGCGGGGCGAGGGGCGGCAAGAGCCAGCGCGGCGGCGCCGCCCCCTCCCGCGGCAATGCGTCTCATTCCTTGTGCCGACTGATCTTCTCCACCCCCGCCCCGAGCGCCGTCACCCGCCGCGCCTCCTCCGCCTCGTCCTCGTCCTCGTCATCGTCGTCTTCGTCTTCGTCTTCCTCCTCCTCCTCCTCCTCCTGCGCCTCGCGCCGCGCCTTATCCACACCCACCTGCTTCCGTCCCCGCTCTCGCTCGTCGTCGGACTCGTCATCAGACGACGTCGACCGCGAAGACGAGTTCGACGATGGCACCGGAGCGGGCGCACCTGCGCCCGCGCCCACTTCTGACGCCGCCGCCGCCGCCGCATGCGCGAGCGTGTTCGAGCTACTCCGGTGATGCCCGTGGTGGTGCCCCCGGAAGTGCGCGGGCAGCGTCACCGCGCGCAGCACATGCTCCTCCTCGTGCGCCGGCGTTGCTGGCGCCGGGGACGGCAGCGCGGGCGACCCAAGCGGGGACGTGAACGGCAGTGCAGGCGACCCGAGCGGGGACGCGAACAGCGGTTCGGGCGCAGGGGACGGCACCGACGCCGCGGGCGGCGCAGGCGAGACAGGGGGCGACGCCGCCGCGACCGAGTCCGCCGTAGGCGTGCTCGCGTCGCTCGCGGCCGCCTCGTCGCTGTGGTCCGCACCACCACCCCCCTCGGCAGCCTCCGCCCGCGCCGCCTCCTCCTTCTCCCTCCGCTCCCGCTCCTCCTTCTCCCGTGCCTCTTTCTCCCGCGCCTCCCGCCGCCGCCGCACCCACCCCATACCGCTCCCGTCATCACCATCGTCGTCGGTCGCGCCCGCGCTCACGACGCCCATCCCAACCGTCGTCTGCGCGTGCACCCGCCCGTTCCCGTTGCCATTCGCGTTTCCGTTTGTTTTCGACTGCGGAGCGGTGCCTGCGGAGGCCGTCACTGTCAGCGGTGTCTTGGCAAGGATGATGGACAAGACTCACCGCCGCCCTGCAGACGGTTCCACGTCGCATGCCCGTCCCCGTTCTTCACCGAGCCCATCCCGCCGTATCCCCACTCGACGAACTCGGGCTCCACGTCGGGCGCGTTCCCGAACGGGTTATGAGTGCCTGCGGAACGCGTGATGAGCATGTGCAGGAGGGGGTATGTTTAGAAGTAGAAAAGAGAAGGTATAGAAATACAATGGCTCTCGACATCCCAGCACGGGAACGAACACGGTCACGCACGCTGCGGCGTAGGCGAAAAACCCGCACCCCAGGGCGCACGAAGAACACACACACCAGGCCGAAGCCTCGCACCGCCCGGCCCAGATGCACGAGATTAAACGCGAGAAAGGGACTCGACGACACAAAAAGGGACGGCTGAAAGCGATCGAAGGTAAGAACGGAAGGCGGGCACGGGGCGTGCGGGGGCCGAGGAGAGGCGCGGGCGAATGCGCGCAGCAAAGTCATGAACAGATGGATGAGGATAAATGGATGGATGGATGGATGGATGGATGGATTGGGCCAAGAGAAATTAGATTAGGGTGGATGTAAATGAAGGGGGAAGAGAGAACAAAGGCGAGGCGAAAATGAGGAATGTGTGAACGGCTGGGACCGACGGTAAATGAACGAGGGCGAGGCGAGGCTGTCAAAACGGAAGCGAGGGGTGTGTGTGTCCGGACAGGGGAAATTTGTGAACGCCGGGAGAAAGAAGAAATACGCGAAGAAAATAGCCGGGGCGGGGGGACAGAGAGCGGAGACTTACCGTTGGCGTTTCTGGAGCCATAGACGCGGCCATTGAGCATGCGGGTGCCGCGCTTGCCGCCAAAGGACGGGGTTGCAAAGGGGTTGTTTGTGGGGGGTACGCTGTTGGTGCGCTTGGCGGTGGCGTCCTCCTTGAACTTGGTGAAGCCAGAGAGCAGGGTGCGGCCGCGGCGCTTGCCTGCGCTGCCGCTGGCGGTGCTGCTCTGGCTCTGGGTGCGGACGAGAGGCGAGCCGGTGGTGCTACCGGATGAGCTCCAGCGGGCGAGAGACACGCCCCACTTGGCGTCCTCGGGGATGAGCGACGGGGTGGGGGTGAGGCTGTCGGAGCTGCTCATGGGGGTGCCGTTGCCGCGGCGGAAGGGGCGCAGGAGGCTCTTTGGCTTGGGCCAGGTGGAGGACTTGGTGGGGGCGTGGAAGGCAGAGGGGGGCGCAGCGGGGAGAGACGCGTGTGCACGGGCGGGGGATGCGTAGGGCGGGGGCGCTGCGGGAGGCGGGGGCGCGCAGACCTGGGGGGGCGGGGGGAGGTCGCTGGACTTGAGGTCGTTGTCCGTGTCGTCGTCGTCGTCGTCGGTGCGGCGTGGATCGGGGAGGGGTGCAAAGTGGATGCGGCGGGGCTTGTGCATGGTGGGGGTGGTGCCCGCGTCGGCGCTGGTGTGGGACGAAGCGCTGCTTGCGGCGTCGCTGCTGGACGAGGAGGTGGAGTCGAGGCTGTTTGTGGACGGCTGGGACGGGAGGAGGATGGAGGGAGGGCGGTGGGCGGCGAGCATGGTCGCAGTGGAGGACAAGCAGGATGAAAGTGAATCACATTTGTGATGGCATATTCTGCGGTGTCTGGTGTCTACGCTTGGCGAAAAAATAAAAGGCTTGCCTTATCGCTTACGTCCTTTTCCACGCTCCCAGCCTCCGTCCGTCCTCCGTCCACCTCCGTCCGCACCTGGACACAATCCCGCCCGCCGTCTGATCCCATCACCGCCCCGACGCCCGCCGACGCCCGCCGCCGTCCCAACGCCCAGTCTCGTACCAAGCACACGTGACGCCCGCCCTCGCGCCCCGCGTGACGTCCCGTGCGACTCGACAGATATCAACCCTCTCCGTCCCAAAGCACTGGCAGAGACGCGTACAACCCTTCATCCCTCTTGTCGCCTCCGCCCTCCATCACTGCACCCAGCGCCACACCCCGCTCGCCTACCACGCCTTTCCTCCGCGCGAACGTGCCCCCTGTCCCATCGACTCCCACACCGACACGCTTCTCTCAAGGTGAGCCGCTTCCCTGCCAGCAACACAACAAGAACGAACGCATCTCGACTCCACTGCACCCCGGTCCGGCCTCTGCGCTTCCATACATACTTAGCACTCCCGACGGCGACTCGCACGCAATGACACCCCGCTCGCACTCCCCGGCAAATATAGCAGACGCTTAAAACCTCCGGCGACGAGATTAGACATCCTTCCCGCTCTACTTCGCAATCGATATGAACGCCAGCTCGAAAGGCACTGCTCTCGGGCACTCGGGCACCCACGCCAATCGCCTTTCACTTCATACTTCGTCTTGCCCTCGCCCTTGCCCGCGCCCAGGCCCATCTCGCACGCCTTGCACTTAACTTTGCATCTCTGAGGCTTCCATCGGACCGACAGCGCCCGCCTCGCCCGCTCTGGCTTTCACTATCTCAACCTTTCGGCGTAACCCGAGTCCTCTACTCGTGAGCCGAGAGCGCACCGTCCCCCGATCTGCGCTCGGGGCCGGCGCATTTAACTCGCTCTCGGGCATTCCATGGCTAGACCGTTTGAGCTTGAGCTTGACTTGGACCCCGCGGCAAGCGGACCCGACGCCCCGCCCCTGCCCAACCACAACACAGAGGCTTGCTCCGAACGCAGTCCTCTCGAAAATAACCCAGCCAAAGAAGGACAACCCGGACAAGTTGTCGTATGTGTACACCCGACCCGACCTATTGCGTGCGCACGCCTCAGAGCGCCGCCCGGGGACGCCGTACACTCCAATTATTCATCAACATTTTCGAACCGTGGGAACTCCCGCTCTCGGCGCGCCCCTTCATGGACCCACAATAACCATCAGGAACGCGGATATCTGTGTCGTTCGGTGTGGAGCTGTCCGGCGGGCTCCGTCGCGCACGTTGGTGTCCGCAGCCGCAGCTGCACCGAGCGTCGGGTCGCCCTCACGTTTAGGGCCCCGATGCTGTGCTTGCTGGCATGGCAAATTTCCAGGTTCAGGAATTTCAAGGTACGACTACGTCAGGGCCAGCATGCGCAGTAGAGAATAACAGTTTTTTGAAAAGAAATTTATGGCTCCCCCATTTCCTACTTCACAACTAGCCAATGGGGGAGCCATAAATTTCTTTTCAACACGAAACTAATAAACTCTAGTGCGCGAACGGTGGGAATGCCACGCGCCTTTGCTTAGGAGGCATCACCGGTGTTAAACAGAGTATGTACCTGCATGGGAAAACTTCAGGTTGATGTTACAGCTGAACCACAGATGGATATGTAATACAGATACCTCGGTCTTTTCGAACGTTCGTGCCACTGGCCCGCACTCTTCGCGCGAAAATACGCCGCGGCGTTCTGCGCTCCACATTTCTGGTTTTGGACTATCTCCAGGGTCGAACATTGCATTCAAGTTTCTATCGGATTCACGCCGCGGACGGTGGCTTGACAGCGCCACTGCCAGTGACAGATACAGACCCACCCATATCGTATCGCTCCCGACGCGCTCTCTTATCGTTCCTCACGCTGGCGTCGGCTTTTCTGGTTTCTGGTTTGAAGTTCAAGTTCGTTCGTCGACGTGCTCGAAGCAACGCGGACTTGGGGTCCTAACGCCGCGTATCGTACATATCTATATCGGCTGGGGAGATGAATTCAAGCGCCGCTTCGGCTTCTTCGATCTAAATCCTGGACCCACAGCGGCCGCTTCCAGCCGCCGGCGCCGCCACCTCCATCTGCGTCTGCGTCCGCGGGGATCTGCGGTGGCGGCGAACGTTGGTGATCCCCTGGTGATCCCGGGGCTTTGCGGCGCGCGCGGTGGCGTGGGGCGAAATACATCGCGCCGCGGGCAACGCAAGTGATAGTTGGGCTCGATAGCAAAAAAAGGACGGCGCGCAGCGGTGGAACGTGGAGCAGTGAGCACGCAATTGAGGATTGGTTAAATAACGTTGCCCGGTGTGTAAAGATATGTAACCTGTCAATGAAAAACACAAATTCTGTTCCGTGAGCGACGCGTAACGCCGGAGTCCGCTGACTTGCGGCGTATATAAAATCAGGCGGGTCACCAAGGGTTCGGAACGGGAATACTGAAGTGAGAAATGCTGGAGAAATGTTTTCTGCCAGTGGAGCGTCCGCCGGGGAATAGAAAATAGCAGACCTTCCGCCCCGGCGTATTATTCCAAACGTGGTGGTATTCTCGGGTACCCATCCCACCCCGCACATCACCTCCAATATCAAGGAGTCTTGGTATTAATAAGTACTTCCGCGTTTGATAACTGATTCCCCTGCTGCGTGATTGTGGCTATCCACAAGTAACCCGAGAAAGAAAATTCGCACCGCTTCCTGGGATGCGCATCGTAATACAAACTGTGTGGCGGCGACCGACGCCTCGAAGCCGGAAATGGGGGGGAGCATACCTGCAAGCGGCGAACGTTCGAACATGTCGCGGGCGCTCCCGGCCGAGTGTTTCGCGCAATGCGCATCTTTCCGACGCGCCGCTCCCCTCGGAATCAGCAAGAACGCGGTATGGCTCGGTATGGCGTGCTCGTCGATGTGTATCCATGCAACTGTGCAAGCGGCTTCCAAATCCAGCCGCTCGTGTGCCCAATCAGTCGGATTCGGGATGCGGGGATCATTCGAATCTGAATCCGACGATTATTCGAAACCGAGTCTGAATCCGAAGCCGCGGAATCAAAATTTCCATCATATTAGAGATAGCGGACGTTCGCCGGGGCCACGTACGTGCGGAGGATCGGACTTGTTTCTTGATTCTTTTTTTCTGGGAGGGGGATGCCGACACACGGAATGACCGAACGAACGTGGTTCGAGGTGATGATAAGATGATACAGAGATTCGTCAGAGTCATGCATGTGTCCTATGCAGGCCCAGGACGATGAGTTGGTATCTCAGGGAGGGATAGGATATTTGGCGAGTACACGTACCCACCAGTTGTAGAAAACGGTCATCATTCTTTTATACCGACTTCCATGTTTTCCTTCGTCTCTTTTTTGGGGGGCCGATATGCGTCCAAGTGCACGGTTGACGGGCCGCCGTCTTTCCGAGGACAGAATGACGCGGTTTGAGTAGGGTCTGTGAAGGTTTTAAAAATACCTGTGTGGAATTTCATGCGGGAAAACTTCAAGTGGCGAGTTCGACGCCTCGGAGCGCCTAAAAATTGTTGCGGGAGGCTCAGTATTGCAAACCGACGATCAGTGTTAGGCCCGAGATCTCGTCTGGGTTCGTGGGACAGTTGAACTAAAATCGCTGTTCCCATTCGACCAATTCTGGCCAGCGTTGAAAGAGGTTGAAACGTTGAAACTTGACCCATTTCTTGATCATCGATGTTACCCGACGCTTAGCGGTAGTCAAGTGTGGTCTAGTGTGGTCTACCAAGTTGAGTCACGAGTTTGAATTAATTCCGGAACCTGAAAATCGTTACGACACCGGCATTTAACACGACCGAAGGCAAAAACGACCTGGGTCCTTCGACTCGACGACTGGAGGTCTCGGCACCGATATCGACCGTAGGCCCCGTCCTGGCGATGGCGAAATGAACTTCTGAAAGTAGACCTGAAAGCGCGTTGAGGCTGGTTCTGGCTGGTTCATGCTGAATGACTGCCTTACGCCACGGCTTGGGCCGCTTGGCACATCGCATCGCGACCGAAGACGGTGTGTGCGCCCACCTGACACCCCCATGCCACCAATCGTTATGTTTGCACTAACGAGGGTGCCGACAAAATAGAGAGCAAGATTTCATCTTGACTGGAGGCGAATGCCCTCGATCATGATCGCCGTCGAGACATTGGCGTGAGATCGGGACTCGGACAAGCTTAAGGATCCTAGGAGAAGCTGCTTCTTTGCTTTTTTTTTGGTGGTTTGTAAAACTTGGCAGCAAGCAGGGGCGAGATAGGGGCTTGAGCCAGGCTTTCGATCGAACCATCAAGCCGAGGTTGTAAGTTCAGGTCTGTTCAGGTGGTTGGAGCGAAATCGCGTGCTAGGCAGGGGGCTGCAGGGGGAAGCTCGTCGCTTGCTTCTATGATTTTGAGAATGCCCTCGAGGCTCCTCGAGGTTCGGAGTAAGAGTCATTTGGCACGAGAAGAGAGTCCCGTGGTCTGTAATGGCTGCGGAATATGTGCAGGGGTCTGACGAGTCATGTTCCGGCCGCTGGAGCTAGTCTCTCTTGACAGACTCCCTCGCTCGTTCCTCGTTCTGAAGTCTGTTAGTTACCGCGCCCTGATTGCCGTTAGGTCTCCTTATTATGTAATGATGAGGATGCTTGCACAAACAAAGGATATCCCGGGCGTGTTTCTGACGCGTTATCTGTTCGCAAATGCTCGAAATCCCCTAGGAGTACCTTCGTACTTGTCATCTATTGAAGCCTTGCTGCACTGACCTTTTTCCTGGTTGTTCAGCCGTCCGATATCCATTCTGTACACTAAATTGGGTGACTGATGCCTGGCTGTGAGCTGCAGGCCTCAAATTAGAAAGGATTATATCCAAAACTACTTCATATGATGTCTAAGTAGACTTTATGCCCAAAAGTTGGCACAGTTGAAGTAACATCGCGCACGGCGCGTCGAAGTCGCGTCGCTGAGCCTCCCACGTGACTCAGACCATCTTCCTAAACAAGAAAGCTTACATAATAGGCAGACCTAACGGTAATCAAGGCGCGGTAACTAATAGACTACGCTGGAGCCTGTCATTCAGCTTCCATTCAGCGGGGGAAAAGGCATCACGCACACCTGCAACTGCAGCTCATGATGAGAATCATACGGTAGGTATGCGGTCAGAGTCACAATGTTCCCTGCCAATAAGAATAATTCAATCCATTGGATGGCGCGCGCGCTTTTGGCCCCAGGCTGCAGCGCGCTTTTGGCTACTGGAAACAGAAGGCAGACTGCTGGCACCTTTTCATGTCGCGGAAGGCTCGCAAGCCGCTTCGTATACGGCCTCGAATTCGTCCCCGCCACTGGTCGCTGCATGATCTCGCACTGACGATCCGTTCGTCCGGACTCCGACTTCAATGAGAGCAAAGGAAGAGTGAACTTGAAATTTGGTGGCAGTTCCATCCGAATCCCGCATACATATAGACGTTCATGGTAAGGAGTGCAAGACAAGTGTGCCGCGCTCGACGGTAAACCGAGCAACAAGAAATGCCACGTGAGACAAGCAACAACTTTAAACCGGAAAAAAAACGTAATTCCCGCTAGCCGATTTGAACGACTGACCTCGTCATTAGGTATTTGATGTACTAGTGACGCGCTCTACCAACTGAGCTAAGAGGGAGATGACAATGGATCTCCTCATATAGCAAATATATTTCGACCCGGTCTTGAATCCAGAGCACTTTGCTGAGACGACCGAAACTTCGCTCCTTGACTCGTTCCAGTGTTCAGCAATGTTCCTCACATTCCATACTCCACAAACGCAAGCGAAACCCGGATGCATCTTTGACGCACGCACGCGCACACCATCTGAATCACCTGAAGCCGGAATCCGGATCCCAGTGTCGAATCGGAGGTTCTACTGCAGGGCCCAGGTGACCAGGTCGATTCGTCGAAGGCGAGCTACAGGTCGAGGTTGTCCTGACACGGCCAGGCCGTTTCATCAAGCCGGAGCCAGTCGAAGTCACATCAGAGCTTGCGCTGCCACATGCAGACAGAGCAACATGATGCCAACATCCTATCCTGGTCCTAAGTATCCTGTCCTGGTCATATCCTCATCCACCCGATTGCTTCTATCACTCTGTGTCCAATGACTGCCTGGCGTGTTGGACTCGCGGCCCATATGCGTACAACATTCATCAAGTAGGGTTTGCTTCAAGTTCATGCGGACTGTTAAACAAGTTCTGACAGATCCAGGACAGCAAGGAGACTACCTGTGATTTTTTAGGTTGCGCTGAGGCCCCAAAGGGGTCTATATTCACATGGATTCAGGCTTAAGTAGTGTCAGAACACCCTGTTCCCATCGCGCGGTCACCATACTTTGTTTGCTCCCGAGGGTATCCAACATGCTAACGGACAGTGAAGCCACCATGCAAGAAATTACTTGTATAACCCAACGGTTCGCGTCAAGGATGAGATCGAGGGTCTGTGTGAAAGAAACATCAACCTCCATAACGATCCAGACACGATTTTCGAGGCGCTCAATGACGGAATTCGTAAATTAGGTGAGGCTGTATGATCTGGTTCATTTGGTACTCCAACGCTGTGCGAAATTCCGCGAGGATTCAAGGCTAAGCGAAGACACTTGGTTTGTTTCCAAGACCGAAAGTATGTGAGCTCCAGCCCAACAATCTCCATACGATGGGAAGTTGAAACAGATGGCTCCGAGATATCAGACTGCCAGAGATGATCAAGGCACAGTCATTCGTATGTGCATTGCTAACGTTATCAACACTATAGATAATCCCGTTCTTGGTTTCCTCTATCTTTTAGTACTTCAACCAGTTGCAATTATATTCTTCTGATCCTAAAAAATATCTGGGATTTGCTTTCGTGCGAAAAACTTGGGTATCTAGCTCATCCGGCGACATACTGCAAAGTTGCCGCCTTTGGACCTAAGAGGTTGTTTGGGTCTCAGGCCGGAAGCCTCGAGTCCAAACATCCCCGTTTAGAAAAAATATGGCTCCTACCACAAACGCGTTCGGCGGGTCTTGGTCCACCCTTCCGACCTCGCTTACGCCATGGGTGTAACTCTGCCGCGCTCCTCCGTCCCTCTGCATGCTCATGACCCATCCCCAGATTGGATGTCATACAGTCCATGGGGCACACGCAAATGACCCCGGTGCAGGCGTCTACGATCCCGCTCTTTATGCAGCACAAGGACGTCGTCGTCGAGGCAGTTACGGGGTCTGGAAAGACGCTCGCTTTTGTCATTCCTATCCTAGAACGACTCATACGACGAGAACGAAAACTCCGGAATAATGAGCTCGGGGCCTTGATTATCAGCCCTACACGGTCCGTCGCGCCTTTAGGAACGATGGCCGTCCGGCTGAAATTGAATCAGGGAGCTGGCGACGCAGATACATTCTATCTTCTCGCTGTTCCTCTCCGCGCAACCGAGGCTTGCGCCAGAAGATCCTCTTGCGGACCCGCCAGATCCGGAATACCCACCCCCGCTGCTCCTCGTCTCCTCCAGCAAATCATCCCCCGCTCAGGATGTTCAACGTTTCACCTCGTCCGGTGCTGATATTGTAATTGGCACCCCCGGCCGTGTCGAGGAGTTCCTGCTCGGAAAAGGCAAAACGGTTGTCAGCGTAAAGGAGCTTGAAGTGCTGGTTCTGGATGAAGCAGACAGGCATGTTGTCTTGACTTGGCGCTTTCTCCACCGCTAATCTGACGTCCCTAGGCTGCTTGACTTGGGATTTCAAACAGCGGTGACGCGCATTATCACCCACCTACCAAAGCAACGACGAACCGGACTATTCAGCGCGACTATGACGGATGCCGACGCGCTTTCTGAGCTTGTGCGGGTGGGCTTGCGGAATCCTGCTCGCATTGTGGTCAAGGTGCAGGCTAAAAAGCTTAAACCCGGGGGAGCTGCTGGCGCATTGACCCGGGAGACCATAGAAGAAAGACGAATACCGGCCAAGTGAGTGCAGCTTGTCATTTAAAGGGTCTTGTTAATGGGGATCAGCTTGAGGATCCATTACATCGTCTGCCACGCGTCAGAGAAACTGGTCCAGTTGACGAGGATAATAGCATCAGAGGTCACAGAACACCAGTCGTCGCGATTCATTGTTTATTTTGCCACTGGTGCTTGCGTAGACTATTTTTACAGGGTATTTCTCCCGTCGTTGTATCCGGTGCATCTCTGATCAGGTTGCGACAGATAATGCAAGATATTCTTCCACCAGAGACCGCCCTGTTCTCTCTTCACGGACACCTCCCTCCGTCTGCGCGCACGCGGACTCTTGCAGCATTCTCGGACGCTCCCGCCACTTCTGCCTCTCCTTCCGTCCTCCTGGCGACCGATGTTGCAGCCAGAGGACTCGATCTCCCCTCCGTGGATATTGTGATACAGTTCGATCCGCCATCAGACCCTAAAGCCTTCTCCCATCGTTGCGGGCGCACAGCGAGAGCTGGGCGCAGCGGGAGGGCATGGGTGCTCCTGCTCGCACGGGAGACATCCTATGTCGGTGTGTACTGATACATATAACACCGTGTTATAGGACAACTCAGATCATATCAACGCAGACTTTCTCGCCATCAGGAAGATACCAATATCTGAGCGACCATTGTTTGGGGGATCGGGTGATCAAGCTATGAGTCTTCCCTCTTCCAAAGAAGACGCAGATAGCGCAGAGCCTGTGCGGCCCGATGACGCAGACGTCTCGGTCTTTCTCGGGCGCATACGGAAAACCATCTTGATGGATCGAGCGATACACGATCAGGTGAGCGCTTAACGTGATGGTTATGCCTCTTTTTTTTCTGAGGGATCCCTATCTAGGCCGCGAAAGCATTCGTGTCATTTGTTAGAGCCTACTCTAAACACGAAGCATCATATATCTTTAGAGTGAAGGATCTCGATCTAGTTGGCGTGGCGAAGAGTTTTGGGCTACTCAGGCTCCCCCGTATGCCTGAACTACGAGACGACGCGCGCGAGGGCTGGGAGGATGCCGCTGTAGATGTAGGATATCCGTTGCTTCGCTTTGAGCTCGTACTAACAATGACTTACAGTGGAATTCATTTGCCTACGCGGACAAGGCTCAGGAGGCAAAACGGGTGGCTGAAGGTGCAGCTGCGGCGACCATTCTCGATACCGAGCGCGAGAAGCGACGTGCAGCGCGGGCGGAAAAGCAGAAGATGAACACGGCGTGGAGCGACAAAGTTGTGAAGAAGGAGGAGCGGGACAAAAGGCGGGAAAAGAAGGGTAAGAAGAGAAAATGGTTGAAAACGCAGGCGGAGAGTGTCGAGACGAAGGATGGAGAGCCCGGGGAGCCAGCGGATGAGGTTCCCGATGAAGGCGATGATTGGGACGAACTTGCACGCGAGGAACGGATGGCCAAGAAAATGAGAAAGGGAGATGTCACTCGGAAAGCATTCGATGCCGAGTTTGCTGACTTGAGCTGAATCTATGTGGCGGACATTCTTGTCATAACATGTAAGGATTTTTCAGCCCGCAGTGGAGCGCAGGTGGTCGCTGAAGCGCTGACGGCCGCACGTGATATCGCATTAGCTTATCCTAGCTTATTCCGCTTATTGATACTTAATTGATCTGCGCTTGAGTCCTTATAAACGTCTCGCGTCGACTCTACGCTCGCTCTCAACGCGTTTCCCTTCTAGAATTTTCTCTGCCCGGTCGTATTCTGCAGTTCTGGCATTCCATAGCTCGAAACTGAGCACCCGATCTGCCCTCGCAAGGCTATCCCTCGTCCGTCTATTCTTTACTTGGCTGTACGCATCTGAGTGCACTTCGCTAGCTTTCCAGAACGCTTTCTTCATCCGCGATGCCCCCCATCTACGATAAGCCGACTGCAGACAAGTATGATCTAATAATGATCGGAGGTGGCAGCGGCGGTTCAGCCTGCTCGGTGCGTTTACTGCTTACCGGTCGCTTCATATCCTAATGTGACTTTAGAGGCGTGCAGCGTCCTATGGCAAAAAGGTAGCGGTCATCGAGGTCACCGGTGTTCTTGGCGGAACTTGTGTGAATGTTGGTGAGTATCTTCAAGTTGTTGACTGGCTCCCTCCACGTCTGAATTTTTTCTAGGATGTGTGCCGAAGAAGGTCTGTCTTTTATACTGAAGGTCTGGAATGATTCACAGTGCAATGCAGATCATGTGGCACGCCGCAGACTTGCAAGAGAAAATAAAGTTTCACACCAAAGGATACCACATCAAGGGCGACGCTGCCATTCCGAAATTTGACTGGGCAACATTTAAGCCCCAACGAGACGCTTATATCCGCAAACTCAACGGCATATACGCCAACAACTTTGAGAAGGAGGGCGTCGAGCACCACCACGGCTTCGGGCGGCTTACGTCTGCGACCACCGTCGAAGTCACACGACCCGACGGTCAGAAATACACCCTCAACACCGACAACATCTGCGTCGCGACCGGCGGGCACCCTACCATCCCATCCGACGAGGAGATCCCTGGTGCGTCCTTGGGGATCGACAGTGACGGCTTCTTCGCGCTCAAGGAGCAGCCGAAACGTGTTGCGGTTGTTGGCGCTGGATACATTGCTGTCGAACTGGCAGGCGTGTTCAATGCCTTGGGCTCAGAAACACACCTCATCATCCGTGGGGAGACCGTTCTGCGAACTTTCGACCCTGCAATC